AAAACATATCATTAGAGAGTACTACTCTACAACCTTCATTTTTAGGAAAGTTCTTATGGAAGTTAGCTCACAAACAATCTTGGATGAAATAAATTATCTTCCTATACTTGGATTTCAATTCGGTTAACAATTCTAATTAAATTTACAGGTTCTTTTTCGTTATATAATTTGTTACTTTGGGCATCTATGAAATTCGGAATATATTAATTGTAACTACGACAACTGGACAGGACATCTTCTGGCAAATCAGGAAAAGCAAAGAAAGGAGTGGAAGTTTTATTTTAGTTACTTACAGCCAGATTCTTTCAGCTTTACTAGTGCAATATGAAGTAACCTTAGTAAACTTCAGTCAAATCAAGTCATAATGAGGGAAGGTAAGAGGGGCTACCAAGTATAAATAGCTCTTCCTAACATAAAACAAAGACTTCATTGTACTCCATGTGCAGAATCAATACATGAATTCAAGAAACACTTCAATGTGTTTCTGGAAAAGGAGGGGCTTGAGTGGTCTGGAGGAAAAGCAGGAAAGTAGGATTAAGATAAATTAAAATGTGGTTGGCATATTGGGCTGGATGGCCCCTTCCTGCTCCTATCATCTTGTACAATTTTTAAGGCAGGCTCAGCTACAAATCAGGATTTTATACTGAACAAACAAGTCTTAGATGTACTGGGATTACAGTGTCCCTTCAACATGAGAGCAATGTTTTGTTTAAAATAAACGTTTATTTGCCACAAGGAATACTAATTTCAAAATCCGATCTTTGCACACATTTTCGACAAGATTTAAACTCTCCTTGAAATTTTTAAAGAAATGAAGGCCAGGGATAAGTAAACATTAAAAATGGTTTAGATATCTCAGCAACTTGTAGGTATGCTTCTTTCTATTTCATATTGCACAAATTAATGTATATATAGATGATATTCAAAATTTGTTTTCATTGTACAATTTTAGATGGCTCTTTATGTGAGTTTTGAAGCATTCAACAGAATAATACTATTGAAAGTTAGTGAATTATATATATTATCCCCTGGAAAAGCAAGAAAAAGGGACAAGAGAAAAAAGATCCATCCCTTCAATCTAAGATTTCATTTGTTGCGGAGACAGTAAGAAAATGAATTAACATGTGAGAATGCTAAGGATAAAGGCTTTCCTATTTTTTATTGTGTGTAGAAGGTATCAAGTCAAGGTTCCCCCAGGAAGGGCAGTAGACCACAAGATAAGTGTATAATGTTAGTACTTACTGTGAGAAAAGAGAATATGTTATGTAACTAATTATTGACTCTAAAAAACATACTTTGCAAGTTCAGGTGCTTTTCAGAAAAGACAGTCATCTATACACAAAGTAAAAGTAAGAATCATGGAGAGAATGTATTCCAAGATCAGGAGAAAGAACAATGATATCAAATGTAGTTTCTCCTACTGGTTTCCTAGTTTCCAATTACAGCATTGACTACATAGGCTTCCAAACAACAAAATCAGGGGGAAAAATAATATCTCGAATTGTAAAAATAACTTATATGATCATAAAAGTGGGCAAGGGTATGGACTCAAAAGAAGAGACCACAATAGTACAGAATCTATTGCTGAAAGAAAGAAATACATTACAAATGTCCATGCCATGCCCGTTTTGTATAAATCTGAGAACACAAGCATGTACGTAACTACAATACCATTGACTGTCTAAACCAGTGGTGCTATTCAGCCAGTTCTATCCAGTTTGGGTGAACTGCTAGTGGTAGCAGCGGGAAGCTCCACCCACACACCTGGACGTCATCACGTCCTGCTTTTTTATGCTCTGCGCATGTGCGTAAGGTCCTCCGCATGCACAGAGGTGGCATGTGTGCTCATATTTGCAAACTGGTAGTGAAGGTAAGTTGATTTCACCCCTGGTCTAAACAGCTTTCAGAACCATAAACCATTAAAATGCTGAGAGTCTGTGCCACAAGTTATAGCGTAAAGATAATAATTGGAATATAATGAAAAGAAATAGCCTGGAAAATGCTCCCATCTAGTACCGGAAAAAGAGGTTTGCATCATCTTTTCATTGAGGCAACTGAAAAAGTAACTGAGAAAAATCAGCAGGGTCTACTTAACAGAATTCATTGCTAGGTTTTTACCAAAATGCTTAGTTCTAGAACAGAGAATGAATAATTTTGTAGAACTGGCACTTCACATTAGCAGAGGGGAGATTTGCTATGGATTCACAATGATTCAAAGTAGGCAGAAATGCATCACTTACTTGAATAAGGCCATTTAAAGGTATGCTGGTTTTTGCCATTTTAAAAAAATTATGTAAAGTGGGCATTAGAGCTTATGGTATCATTTTTCTTCCTGCTTCAACATGGTAGCAAAACATGCTGTCAATTTTCAAAGTTTGAGGGCTGCAGAACATAAGTACAGGTCCAATGGCATTTCTGATGCCATTGTTTGACCACTTTGCTTTATAACAAAAATGTAGACTTTGTGATTTCAGGATCAATGGTTCCTGAAACCTTAGAGGTGGCCTTCGCAAGAGTTTTAACTTTTGTAACAAATTATAATTTGTACTGACAGAAGAATGGACATAATTGGAAAGTAACTAAATTTGTGTTAACTAAAGTAAATAGTAAATTAAATCAAATTTAAAGATAAATTAAATGAAACTAACTTAATTTTTTGTTCAGGCTAATTCCCTAGCTTTTGGGGTGTAGCTTTTAACCCATTATTTAAGGCCAAATGTGGCCCTTGTTTCAGGGGAAAAAACACACTCCACTCTTGTACACCATTACTCTAAAAGGTTTCTAACATTTATATTTCTCAGAATATGAGCCAATTTACAGATTACTATGAAGTCCTGTTTCACATTTATATAGAAAGAGATCCTGTAGCAATATATAGACAATTATACCTTGCTTAATGGAAGTTAGGCATAACCTGTTTGTAGCAGTCCACCTACAGCAAACTGATTAAGCCACAGAACCTTTAATTAAATGCAAACTTTTGTTTAAATCAAAATGGAACATTATGACCACCAGTTTGGAACAAGATAGGATGATGAGAAGCTAACCTCAAAATATGATTTAATATTCTGATTCTCAAGCTGACATCCACTACATATCCCTATTTGTAATATCAATATCATTTAAAACTGTAATGCAACTCAAAAGAAGAGAAATATAGAATCTCAATGCATAAGCAAAATATTCATGTATATTCAGATAATAAAATAGGATGTGATTACCCATACGCTTACCTTATTGAGTCATATTTATCAAGATGATGGTGGTGGTGATTGAGGTAATTATTGTTTTTCATGCAGCAGTTTACATATTTACATTTTACAAAAATAAAGCCCACGTTTTAGCCCAAGCTCACCGAACTGAATAGCTGGCAGTTTTGACAACTGTGTTTGTAAATTGCACAGCCACAGTGAAATTATTTTTTTAATGAAGCCTAATTTTACAATTAACATTTTAAATCACAATATCAAACTATTTTTAATGCTTTTTAAAAAGTTTGGTAGAAAAATCAGAAGTGGAAAAATTAGATAAACACTGGTTAGCCACAAAACTGGACACACCTGGTACGTAACCAACAAAATTAACTTTGAGTTTTAGGAGCAGCAGAATAAAATTTATATATGAAACCAGCCAGCACCAGTAGAATTGCTGAGGCCAAAGGCTTTCTCTTTGTTTTTACAGCTGTGTCAAGTTTTGGTTCCCTCTTGCCAACAATCAAAAGTGCTGAAAGAACCCAGGTTAAAGGGTCCCAACATTTTGCAGCTAAGATTCAAATTGCAACAATTTTAACAGCCAGTCTATGAATTAATATACTGTTTAAAACTAGGAAAAGCATAAGTTGGAAGTGAAAATGCCTTGATTCAAATCATAATGTTCTCACATTGGTAACACCAAATAGCAAGTTGTAAAACTAAAGAAAGTGGTCCTATCTCAAGCTATAATCATGTATCATCCTTACTCTAATTACCTTATCATATTTAGAGACTGTCCATTTCCCTATAAAGTGACTCTATGCATACACTAGCTATGTGTTACCACAACATGCAATTTATTGTAGCAGTTTACTTGCTTTTCCAAATTATTTTCTTGATTTTATGTTCTTCAGCAATGTTATTTTTTAAAGTTGTTCCAAAGTTTGCATTTTAAAAGCTTCATTGAACAACTTTATATAGCTGGACCTTGTATTTCTTTGTGGCATTTAAACTGTTAGAACTACTAACTATGGCTTTATAGTAATCAATTTATACTGCAGGTTACATACATGAAATAAATTTAGTATCTGGAAATCAAACATTTCTATACTTTGGCTTAGGAAGTTTATGGACTGTAATTTTTCTTTTAGCCTGGAATGCATCTTTAATTTTTACTGTTTAAAAGAGAGGTTTACTCTCCCTGCTAGAAATTCTTCAATCTTGACAAAAAAGTGAATTGTTCTGAATTAAACAGCAAGTCTTTTTAAAACTAATACACAAGTTGAGTTATTGAGAATTTTTTTTAAATTCAGAAAATACTAATACAATTTGTATTATGAGGTAACTTGGACTGAGAAAGAATGACTGGCCCAAGGTCAATCAGCTACACATTATTATTATTATTGTTGTTGTTATTACTGTTCATAGTACTATTAAGTTAAGTAGTATTTATTAAATTATTTTCATATGATATTTGGGATTTCAAGTTTAAAACAATCTGGGATTTTCTACTAGCAACATCTTTCCATTTCTGGAATAATAATGAATAAAGCATTGCATCACAACTACTGCCGGTGTTTGTGTGTGTGTGTGTGTGTGTGTGTGTGTAACACTTATAGAAAAGGCTCAGGGCATGAGTTAAGATGAAGTAATTTGCCAGTCCGAGCAATACTGCTATTAGTCATACTACACATTGGCCTCCAATTTTTCCTCACATATCGTTAATATAATTATATTGTGCATTCTTGAACAAAGTAGAATGAAGAAGATACTTAAGTGACCAATGAATCCATATCAAGAAATACTCACTCCCATAACCTTCCCACGTTGCTCAGCATCTTCCCACATAGCATATACTATATAGTAACACATGTATTTTCCTGCTCGGCCCTCTTGTTTCATTCGTACTAAGCACATCCTAGAGGAAAGCAAATCATTTTTTAAAAAATACAGACACATACAAAAATAAAGATGGAAAATATATTGAAAAGAAATTAACCAAAAATGAAACAAAGGTTTAAGAGAATAGAAAAAAATTCTGATTTTAAGAGTATATTACATAGTAAATTCACTTTGGGATATAAAATAACACAACTTCCAGTGAGCATTCCATAGAACACAGCCACAACATTCTACAGATCACAGGAAAGTGGCTGATTAATTTATGTTACCTCTTTTAGTTGTCTTCCAGCTATAGGGCTACAATATTAATAAATTATCAAAAAGACAGCAGAGAAAATCTATTCAGAATCTCACTTCTAGACACATGTACTTAAAACCCCTATTGTTTTCAATTAATGTTTAATCCCAGGCAAACAAAATACTGGAGCCACAGATTCAATTCATTAGAATCAATATTCAACTAAACATGAAAATCAGGCTGTCTCCTAAAATGAGAATACGTAAGGCTCCTATATATCTTTTGGTACAAAACTGGAACAGTATCAATTCTTCCAAGTAAAGAATCAATTCCTTTGAAAAAGAGAACAAATCCAATGTAGCAAGGACTTTCAATTTCTGTGCTAAAAGTGTCACTGTCAGCTCTGGAGATCATCTTTTTCTTTGGATCTTCAGGGCTACACTTAGTGCTGTGGGAAACTGGGAGGGTGGATTGCATTGAGTTGAGGAGATATATAACCATAATAAAATTCCGTTCTCTGAGAGCCAAGGACATTCAGCCTGCACCTGGAGTAGCGTGACTGGGAGGCATCTCCAGTTGTGACGGTGCATTGATTGAACCATGTGATGGACATGTAGGTGCAGGGGAAGGGGCATGGACTTTCTTTTGGGTGGGGAAAACCTGGATGCTTTCAGATTCCGGTTTTCCCGAATATGACATCTGTAATAAAATGGAGCTTTGAGGAACTTCTCGCCTTGAGTCTTCTTGTGTTGGGGGTGGTGTTACTTGGTACCCTGACCTCCACTCTTGAAGCTGACAATTCAGTGTATTAAAAGAGGTGTATTCTTCATGGGTTATTCTGAATTTGGGATTTTGACAATATTTTGAAAGTACTATGTGGGTGGTAATATATACAATATAGACACAATTAAACTAGCATGAAACACAGGTAGGAAATACAATCTAAATGTGTAAGAAATAGTTGTTTTGCTTCTTTTGGTACATTTTTATAAATTTTCAGGGATTGGCAAAATAAAAATGCCCCTCCTAGAGAAAAAGGTTAACGCTAGAGTTTGTGTTAAAACAATATCAAATGGCACCATTTTAAAGTTGAGACATGGAGCATTCTTAGTGTATCAGATCTTGCTGGTGGAAAAACCTTGACTTGCACAAGGAAGCTTACTGGCAACCAACTGAAGCGCAATAGGATTATAAATCAGATGGAGTTTCCAAGTATTCTTCAATGACAGCCCTATGTAGAGCACACCATGCATATTTGTGTGTGGCAAAAGTATATGAATTTCTAGGATTATCAGATCATGTGAAGGGGAAATCAGAGTAAGATGTTTCAATTAATTGAATGATAATCAGATGTGAGGATGGGAGGAACAGAATTCTAGGGATTCAATAGCCTTGAATGGATCTAGCATTTGTACCTTCAACTAACAATACAAAGCTGTCAGAGAATAAGTAAATTCTTGCTGGCTTGCTAAGGTCTTCAAAATGGCAGACTTCCACTAAGCCCTTTTTGTTGTTGAGCCAGGATGGACATATTTAGAATAGAATAACAGAGTTGGAAGGGACCTTGGAGGTCTTCTAATCCAACCCCCTGCTTAGGCAAGAAACCTTACACCACTTTAGACAAATGGTTATCCAACATCTTCTTAAAAACTTCCAGTGTTGGGGCATTCACAACTTCTGGAGTCAAGTTGTTCCACTGATTAATTGTTCTAACTGTCAAGAAATTTCTCCTTAGTTCTAAGTTGCTTCTCTCCTTGATTAGTTTCCACCCATTGCTTCTTGTTCTACCCTCAGGTTCTTTGGAGAATAGTTTGATTCCCTCTTCTTTGTGGCAACCCCTGAGATATTGGAACAGTGCTATCATGTCTCCCCCAGTCCTTCTTTTCATTAAACTAGACATACCCAGTTCCTGCAACCGTTCTTCATGTTTTAGCCTCCAGTCCCCTAATCATCTCTGTTGCTCTTTCTAGAGCTCCACATCTTTTTTTACATTGTGGTGACCAAAACTGGATGCAGTACTCCAAGTGTGGCCTTACCAAGGCATTATAAAGTGGTATTAACACTTCATTATTTGTTGCAGAATGTTATCTCACACCATGATCCATCTTGATAACAAGAAAAGAATACTTCTCTTCCTGGCATTTCCCTCCAGCACACTGTGTTGTTATAGCCCTTTATTGGACAGCAACTTTCAATTGGAGTACAGTTCTGCCACAAGATGTGGCAGTAAACTAATACCATCTAGTTGGAGGGACTGAGGCATACAACTATAGCTACTGTCCCACCACTCCTCCAATTACCATGTTTAAAAAATGGGATTTGACAAGGAATTTGAACACAAAATCTATCAGTAACTTTTTAAAATAGCTCCGTGCTGCTCAGTCCTGAGAAAATAAAGATCTGCTTTTAAAGAGCTGTAAATTGGTGACTCTACGCAATCCTGACACACACCTTTCTGGAAGCAAAGACAAAGCCTTGCATAGTTCTAATTTTAAAAAAATCACAGAAACCAATGCAATTAGCACTGTCTGAAATAAAAATCTATACTAATTCCCAACGTGCCTTTAATCCAATGCTTGAAAAGTTGCAGTGAATTTAGATGCATTGTGCTGTCACACAGCAATTTAGCAACACTCTGAATGAGGTCATGGAAACTGGAATGAGTCTCCCATTTACATTAACTGCCACTTGAGATTAAAATGACAGACTTTCTAGCCAGATCAACACAGCTGCAAAACTTATTTTTTTACCATAAGGCTACATTTAAACATTCAGTTAGTACTTTTATAAGTTTTTGAAATTTTCTTTGCCCACTTATTAATTTCTGAAGTGAAGGTTCCCCTGTATTATCATAGTTTAGAAATCAGATATACTTGCTTTGATATCCATTTTTCCAAATTCATATTTCATAATTTACACAGCTTCTCAATTCATAAACAAAGATTTTACCATGCTCTAGTGCTGACTTCTCTCCTCAGACTTGACAAATTAATCATTGTTACATATATCAATGTATTTTCTTTCCATACATTAGCCAAATTCTTTCTTCAATGAATTCCAGGCAATCCCTGGAATTGAAGCACTGAGCAGATCTAGGTAGCAAGGCTAGGAAAGTTAGAAATGGACTAGGTAACATGTGTTATTAACTTCCTTCCTTCCATCCGTCACTCCTCACTATCAGCCATGCTTCCTGGGAATCTTGGGAATTAACTGGTGAAGGACTTTTCTTGAAGCTAAAGTTGTATACATCACCAAAACTATTTTGATTCTGATAAATATAACACTGTATGGCATAATAGGAAATGCTGACATTTTCCCCTAAAACAAGTACAGATTTTTAATTCACATATTCATTCTTATACTTCCTTCATTATAATAAGGATATCACTGTTTCTTACTTTAACCTATCATTCCTTTTTAACTCATTTTTTGGGGAAAAAATTTGACAAAATAAATTGCAGCGACTATTTGTTTGATGTTGCCCATCTTCAAAAATATGGAAATAGCCAAGCCATTATTTTTAGAATAAGGTTTATACTAATGTTCACTAACTTGAGAACTGGTATTACTAACCTACGTAAGAGGTAGTTCTAAGTAAACTTCACAATTGCATTTATACTTTATGAAAACAGAAAAAAATATAGGAACATTCTTTTTAAAAGTCATAAGTTTATTTATGGTAGCATGTTCCAATTAGGTTTTCATTAAATATGTTTAAAAATAAACATAAGAATTTTTCAAGAAGTACTAACCACAAAAGATATTTATTGTAAAACAATGAAATGTATTGTTAAAATTAATTTGGCATTATTTTTACAAAACAATCTGCATCTAATGTAATTAATTTCTAAAAAGGCAGACAAATGGAAAATAATGATTCCTTTCTTTATATTTATTATTATATCATTCTGTCCTTCCCAAGCACCTAACTTTAGATAAAAATTGAGTTTTGCCTAGTTATTTTTCTTGGATGATTATTTAACTAATGAAGGAAAAAATCACTTTGAGGTGTTAAATATTCCACAAGTAACCAGCTGTAGTTAAGGTTTTAGAGGTGAAAATGTAAATGTTAATGCTATAATTTGTTAAAGGCTTCTGACAACTAGTAAGTCAAGTCACCACAAGTTCTCACAATTCAAAGAACTCCTACGTAAATGTGAGCTTTTCCTAAAAACAGATAAATGAAAGACCTTTCCATTCAGGCTGAATGAAGCTTTTAGAGTAGAGTGAAGAAACTATTAGAAATAGCATGTTGAAGTTTTTTTTAACAAAAAAAAATCTGGCACACATTTAACATGGTTTAGCCAAGTGACAATTTTCTCCTTTTCTTGATACAAAAATTGTAGTAGATGAAATTTTAAGGAGCTTTACTTACCAGACATGAAGCTGTGCTATTAAAAACCAAGAGTTGAAAGTGTCAGGGATCTGTAATTCTTAAAAATGAATGTGGTGAGTGAAAATGTATTTTATACTTAAACATTTAAAAATATACATGAATTGGCTTGCATACACATCTACTCTGTGCATACAAGGAGAAAAAAGTCTGCACATATGCATGTGTGTACTTAAGGTGATTCTTTTTTTCCAGTGCTAGATTGACACGTAAGCCTATAAAACTTGTGAGGAGCTGGAGGAGATCAGGGCTTTGGTGCTGGTGAATAAAACTATCCATGTATATTAACATGGTGAGTCAGTATTTTAATGCTTGAGTTAGTAGGAATATGTTGGACTCTGCAATTTGCTTTTTGATAAACTAGTACTTTGTGACAAACCACATGATAGATTTTAAGCAATGCGGTATAAAAAAAATTGTGCATATCATATAATTACCATAAATTATCACTGGGCATTACTTAACATAGGAATTCAAAGTCAGCAATCTTTCTAGGCAACATATTATGAGCTTTCACAATGGTGTTAAATGCTCTGTCCAAAGCCTTTATGAAATCTGACTCGGTGATTAAATAATCCCAGGAGATTTTAGTGATTTTATATTCAGATTTTTAGTCAAATATCTGGAAGTTGAAGACAACCAATTCAAAGATGACCTGGGCAAGCTTTTTAAGCAACTGTACCAAATATTTCAAGGGATGCATAATTCCTTTTAAGGAATAATATTTCATTTTTATTGGGGCATGTTGTGAAGCATCATTTTGAATGCTACAATTCTATTAATCATAGACCTCTTGTGGGTCTCCTGGAGGGATAAGAGAACATGATCTGGGATGGTGCCCCCCTTCCCAGACCAGACAGCACTTCCCTTAAATGTCTAGCAATGGTTTTTACAGAAACAGGAAGTTAACAGTCTGACACCTCCCTGTAACCCATGTCTGTCTGTCATGGTCTCACATCCTTCTTGCTTTTTCTGCTGGAGCCCAAGTAAACTAACTGAGTAGAATTGAAGGATAGTTCTGAATTGACTCTGACAACTGCCTTTACTTTGGTGCTAACAGAGATAACAGAAATCCCATTTCTTTCCCATTTCAATGGTAGTTATTTTTTTCATATATATTTTGTTTAAATAAATTGTCAATTGGATATAAATAATTTCCTTCATCTTCTTTTCAGTATGCATTATGTGACTGTGTGATAGTCCTTACAAAGCAACTCAGAGGAGGTAAATGGCAAGATCTGAGTTTTGTAAGCTGTCCTATTTCTGTCACAATAACAGGATAGCAAGAAGAGAGGAGAGGAGGCTGGAGAACTTACTGTTAAAGAATTCTTCATAGTCTATTTTGTCCACGCAACATGTATACATGCGTAGTGCTGCTATTCTAATTTTCTGAACAGAAAAGACAATTAGGCTTAATACAATGTTATGTCATTTCTATTTTTCACTAAAGAAACTTCTGCAAAAATACGCAAATGTTCCTCTATATTTTGGATATTCACATTTACATACCATTTATTATTAGCTAAATATGCATTATTTATTTATTAAACCAATTTATATAGCTGCCCATCTCACAAACAGCAAAAGGACAGTATACAAAATAAAAACCCAACTAAAAGGATCATTGTACCACAATATATTAAGCTAGTTATATAATTTCATTGAACAATATTCAGTTTAGAATAACTTAATTAGCAATACTTCATTTCCACTAACATATGCCTTCAAATTCATTTAATTTCTGAGATGTTTAGCTTCACAGTCTAAACTGAATTTAGGAGAATTTTGAATAATTACACTGGATTTTAAAGCATTATTCAATCGCATGCCATTATATCAACAGATCAGGCAAGCAAATTCATAACGCGTTTGCATAATTGTATTTAGAACTCATTCGTCCAATCTTATATTTTTTCCTATTCCAAACTTGCCAATTCTTCACTGATCCATTATCATAAAAGTAGAAGGGTCATTTAGTTATAAATGGGCTAAAGGCACACAGTGTCTAACCCTAATATCAGTACAAGAATCCAAATTGAAATATTCTTTTCATATTTTGTTTTATCCTATTATTTAAATGGAATCTGCTTTCCTGTAACTTCAGAGCATTATTCTCTATCCTGTACCCTGAGGCTAGATCAATCAGGGATTGTGAGGTGAATTGGTTTTTTTTTAAAACTATTTTAGAATGTTCTTTATTTTAATTGGAGTCTTTTTTTAAAAATTCCCTATACAATAAGTATAAGTTTGCAACAAAACAGAGATGCAGAGTCCCAACAACATGACATTTATTCTAACAATAGAATTTTTCTGAGCATTGTTTCAGATTCAGAATTTAAAGTTGAAACAGCCTATTTCAAATTCCAAACAATTATTTCACATTTATAATGTATTCTGCACTGCGATCATGACCATGATTAAAAGCTACTGAAAGACCACTCAAAAGATCAGAAAAGAAGAAAAACATTAAGTCAATCCATAGCATGTTTTGTCACAATTAAAACATGCAGAAAATATTCAGCCAAAATTAGCTTTTTGATCTTCAAGTATTAACAGCTGCAGTCTTATAAATATCCTTATCTCAATGTATGCCAAGGATAATTCAATGCTTCTGAATAAACATGAATAGGATTATTCTATAAAATACAGTCATCACTTCTCTGGACTAGGAATTTGGTGTTGCATCAAAATGTAGACCAAATACAAGTAAGTTTATGAAGAAGATGATCAAATTTAAGAAGAAAAATATTTACCCATTTTTTATATTTTAGTGGCCCTGTAAATCCCATTGCTTCTATTATCTTTGTGAAAGTTCCTACTTTCTCTTCAGATGGCTGAGCGGAACTTCTAAAAACCTGTAATAAAAGCAAAAAGTTATAAAACTCACATTTGGATTCATAAATTTCAAAAAGTTAAAACTATATTCAGCTCTAAATGCCAGATCTGAGTTGACACAATTTTTCCCATTATTTTCCAATGATTATTTTTGCAAAAATGAAGCAAAAATATACTTTCCACCTATATGTTGAATCCAATTAATGTAGACCCTGGAGACATCCCATCTATGGTAGATTTCGCTTGTATCCCTTTGCTGCACAATCTGAATCCCAATTAGCTATGAAATAGGTTGAAACTGACACAAATAAATGGTACCCACCATTCTTTATCCCACACTCCGTAGAGCAGACATTTTGCTTTTGATGTATGACTTAACATATTCTTGTAATTGAGATTCTTTGAGAAAAAGGAGAGGGGTACCAATACTTTTGGCCATGTCTATACTTGGATATACTGTAGAAGCAATGTATCAAGTTGGATGAGAAAATATTTGCCATATTTCTCTTCTCCAACAAAAGCTATGCATAGATAGTCCTCGACTTATGACCAGAATTGAGCCCAAAATTAATGTTGCTAAGCGAAACATTTGTTAAGTGAGTTTTGTCCCATTTTATTATCTTTCTTGCCACAGTTGTTAAGCGAATTACTGCAGCTGTTAAGGTAACACAGTTGTTAAGTGAATGTTGCTTCCTCAATGACTTGGCTTGTCAGAAGTTTGCAAAAGGAGAGCACAAGACCCCAGGACGCTGCAACCATCATAAATATGAACCAGTTGCCAAGCACCTGAATTTTAATCACATGACCATGGGGATGCTGCAAGTATGAAAAATGGTCGTAAGTCACTTTTCAGTGTCACTGTAATATCGAATGGTCACTAAACAAATGGTTGCAAGTTAAAGGCTACCAGTATTTAAAATTTCACATGGACTAAAGGATGCACTGTTTATCTTTAACTTCACATGATTCATTTCTAAGTACTTCTAAATTATTAAAGCTATCTAGATCCTATTTTGTCACTATGTAATTGAAAGAATGTATGGAAAAAAATATGTTGATTATAAACACAATTCCAATAGCAGTTCTGCTGCTACTGATGGGAAAGTAGAGAATTAACATTTACTTCCTAGGTTTTGTAGATTACTTCAATATGGAGACTTGAAATGGTATTAAACAGATTTTTAAAAAATCAAGCACTCCTGAGAAGAAAGAAACCTCCCCAAGTGGGTACCACAAAACCTTAAGGTTAATAGAAAAATAAAGCTGATTTGAGTGCCTTAAGAAAGGCTGGCTGGAAGGCTGCTGTACAATCCTCCAAAGTTAGAGACTTTCAAAGCACGGACAGTAGGTGCTTTGGCCACAACCAAAAACATCTGTTTAACTGTTTATTAAATTTATAAGCCGCCCAATCCCGGAGGACTCCGGGCGGCTTACAGAAACAGAAATTAAGAGAAATTAAAAAACAGATAAAACACGACAAATTTAAAAAGACACAACATGCACCCAATCTAAGCGGGGCTGGACCTCAATCCAGAGGTCAACAGCCCCAGGCCTGCCGGAATAGCCAGGTTTTAATAGCTTTTCGGAAGGCCATGAGAGTGGGTAGGGTCCGGATCTCTGGGGGTAGCTCATTTCATAGGGCCGGAGCAGCAACAGAGAAGGCCCTACTCTGAGGCGTCGCCAGCTGGCATTGTCCAGCAATGCCATTGTCCGGCATTGTCTACTGTCTAATCCACTGTAGCTGTGCATGGGGAGAACTCAGAGGGCCCTGTTGAAATGTTACTAGATACCCATCTTTGATTACAATGCCTAAGAAAGTCATTGTTTTAATTAGTCATAATAAATAACATATGAAGACCTGCAGTTCTGCCTTTAGGCTCTCGCTGCTTTCATCAAAATGATCAAGAGGTTCTTTTTTGAATAATGAAACTCTATCCTTTTGTGAATTTGCATGACATTATAACACACAAAACAAGTAGCAAGTGTGCTTTGCATCACTCACTGCCCCTCTGCTGGTGCCCCTCAAAATCCCTAACTCTGCCTATACTGCTGTTTTTCCTTGTTACGGTAGTCCATTGATGCCTCTGCCTCTAGAATGAGCAAGCACTGTTCAACAAGAATCAGAAATACTGCATGAAGAGCCCTTACGTTACAGTTTTCTTATAAAGATCCAACAAATAGGGAAAGCCCTTTGAAAAACATAATGCTATAAAGATAGCCTCTAAAATTAGGGACTAAAATTTGTGTTTTCCTACACAAATCCAGAAATCTCCACATCTAATAAGACCACAACCGTAGCCCAGTATATTTGAACAGCATAACTGTAACAGAAAATGATGCTTTCTCCTGACCTTTGTGTGATGAAATGTTCTGTTTGGTTGTTTTATGGTCCTGATACTTTGTATTAAATTACAGCAAACTTTGGTTAATGGAAACTGCCCATTGTTGTGTCTCTGATAAAACAACAAAAAGAAAGGACATGAGTATGCAAAAAATAACGCAGAAGAGAAACATTGTTAGTTTAAGAAATAACATAAGCCTGAAAGTTACATACTGGAGTCAACCAATAAAAGTTTAGATCAGAAAGGTCTATGAAGCCTTCAAATCTATGCAAGTGAGCCATTACTGATTTTTTCCAAACCAAAACTACATACATTGATGCATACTGAAAAAGAAAGAACCCCGCCCCCCAGTCTTGTCAAACCACTATAGGCTCACAGAAACTTTACCTTTTATCTTGTTACCCAAAATTTTGTATTCTCCACCTCCAATGGACTATAATTCTCATATTTTTTTAATTCAAGCCTCTCTAATTCCTATATTTTATCTTCTTAATTCCTACTAATACCCTAATCCAGTGGTCTCCAACCTTGGCAACTTTAAGACTTGTGGACTTCAACTCCCAGAGTTCCTCAGCCAGCAAAGCAAAGCTGGCTGAGGAANAAAATTAAGAATTTAACTTTTTAACTGTTTATTAAATTTATAGGCCACCCAATCCCGGAGGACTCCGGGCGGCTTACAGCAACAGAAATTAAAAGAAATTAAAAACAGATAAAACACGACAAATTTAAAAGACACGACATGCATCCAATCTAAGTGGGGCTGGACCTCAATCCAGAGGTCAACAGCCCCAGGCCTGCCGGAATAGCCAGGTCTTAATAGCTTTTCGGAAGGCCATGAGAGTGGGTAGGGTCCGGATCTCTGGGGGTAGTTCGTTACATTAAAAAGGAGAGGTTCTGTCTGTGGGTTTATGCTGTCAATATGGTTTTGCTCAGGAAGGGCTTTTGTGGCTCTGGTGCAGTTTTCCTCTCTTTCCTTTCTCCAGTGAAAGGAGCTACCTAAAAATAACGCTTATCTTCTTTGATGACTGAATTGTTTGAGGGACTTTTTTTCTCCAGATGTTTCTACCCATCCAGTCTAGTCTGGCAGGATGGGCATACTCTGGGAATGCCAGCTAGCGGAGCCAGGAGGTGTGCCTTTTCCGCCATAGCACCTGCCTTGCGGGACACCCTCCCTCCAGAGATCAGGGTGGCCAAGGCCCCTTCAAGAGCTGGTCATGTGGCCGGGTCTGAGCCCAAGTGTTTGAAAGGTCCCGTCTCCTGGATGTTTTAACATCTGTGAATTGTTTTATGATTGTTCACTGCCCAGAGTCACTTGTTGAATAAAAAAGGAATAAATCAGTAGAAATTAATTGAGCTTTGTCCTGAGATTCACCGTGCTTATTGCTGTGACTCTCAACTAGCAGCATCTTCCCTGAATCCAAATTCGATCTATTTCTTTCTCGATTCTGGCAAAACTGAGACATGAACTGGAACGTCTATATATTGCAAAGGTCTTCCAGTAACCTCTGGCTCCTCCTTAGGATTATGAGGGAACAGCCGAGTGTGGTGCTGAGCGTGGCTCATACGGTGGCAGCCCGCATGTCTCCTTTTGTGCGTCAAATGGACTTTGCTATTGATTGGATGGCAGTAGAGGCTGGGCGAGCACTTTACAGGTAAGACGAAGGAGCTGTTCCCTTGGCTCCATGGTCTCCATTTAATGCCCTTCCTTTGCTAAAGAATCCCCCCTTCAGTTAGATGCACACTGTCCCGTGACATTTGCACAGGAATAACGTGCTTCAAGGCAGGCTTTGCTGGCTATTAGAGAAGGAGGAGACAAATGTAATAAATGAGACTTCCTTTTTCTCCAGGCAAGGTGACAAGTCTGACTGCACCTACATAGTGCTGAATGGGCGCTTGCGTTCCGTCATCCAGAAGGCCAATGGCAAGAAGGAACTGGTTGGGGAATATGGGCGTGGGGACCTCATTGGAGTGGTGAGTTCTAAGTGCATTCAGCCCGAATAGGAGTTACATACTTTGTAATTTTAAGAGGATTCATGGACGTAGCGTCAGATTCTTGATCTAGACCAACTGTAGACCAGGTGGCCCTTGCTTAATAACTACTTGCTACTTGAATTTGCAATGGCACTGAGTGAATGGCAGCTACTATAGGTTTTCAGCGTTCTGGCCATGGTCACATGATTGCAGTCTGGGCATTCAGCAACCAGCCTGGATTTCCAATCATTGCAGTATCCCACAGTCTCACGATCATGATTTGTGACTTTCCCTGCCGGCTAAGTCAATAGAGAAGCCAACAAGAATTTGGAAGTTGCAAACACATGAAACTTCCAGTGGAGGCAATCCAAATACCTCTCCACGAAAGTGGAGCCAACGATTGTAGCAAAGATCAAAAAACAAGTGAATGGACGGTCTTTGGAACCTCTCTGAACATGGGAGGACAGGAGATCACCCACATGTGCTCTGGATGACTGTTCCTCACAAGGAGACTCTAAAACGGCAGTTTTCATAATTTTAAGCTTTGGGAGAGAAAGGGATTAGCCATCTGCTTTTAAAGGATACTAGGTTTGCAAGCCTCACTTTCTAAATATTTTTCGAAATTGCCTATTAAGCATCTTAAACCTATTAAGATCTTTGGAGTGATAATTTTGGAAAGTTGCTGGATGAGTTTAGCTTCAGTTCTGAACAAAAGAAAATTAGTTCTAAACTTAAGAAAGAATTTGAATTAAACAGCAAAAACACTAAATAAGATTTTTATCTAAGAAAATGATAAACAAGGAGTCCACATAAAATTGGAATACTGACTTTTATTGTTAAGATTTTGGAATT